TAAGTCTTTTAATTAGCCTTATATAAGCTTATATTACGTAATTAAATTATTTAAGTTATTTAATTACTTATTTACACTTATAATAAGCTATAACTTATAATATATATAATTAAGATTATTAGTATTTTAAAAGTATTTAATTACTTTATTTAAATTAATTTATTACTTATTTAAGAACCTAATTATTCTTAAGAAGTAAGTTATAGAAATTAAAAAGTAACTAGATTATAATACCACGTATAAAGTTACTAGTATATATATGTGTCGCGTTTAAGCTAATAAAATATCTTTATTTAGCTTATAAATTATTTAGGTTAAGTTTAAGCTACCTTTATAATAGGTTTAGCTTAAGCTTAAGCTAATAGCTTAAGCCTATAATAATTCTTTCATACTTATTTATTAAGGGTTTTAGCTTTAATTTATACTTGCTTTTCACGTAATAATACTTATAGAATTTAAATTAAAATTAGTAAGAGTTTATACTCTATTTTAAAATATAAGTAAATCTAATTTAGTTTCTCTTTACAAGTAACTCCCTATACGTAGTGCCTAATTTAATCCCTCTTTACAGGTAACTTCGTGTACGCGTTACATTTAGTTAATATATTTAAATATTAATCTCTTTAATTACCTTTTAAGTTACGTAGCTAATTATATACTTTTATCTTCTTCTTATACCTACGAGTTATACCTGTTCTAACCAGTGCGGTCCCGTCTCGTGTCTCGTGTAGTATCGCTCGTAATAGCGCTCTTTTACTAAATAATTATACCTCCTTATATTCCGTTAATACACCCCCTTAGTTTAAATTAAAGTTATTATATTACAGCTATTAATATAAGCTAAATATTAACTTAATAGTAATAACACCTCTTATAGCTCTTAGCTCTAGAGCTTATAGCGTTATTTTTATAGTACCTATAGCTCTTAGCTTTAGGTGTAGTAGGGTTATTTTAATGTAGCAGCTAAAAAGCCCTAAAAACTTACTACACTTAGTAGAATTTAAACTTAAAGGTAATTAGATAAGAGATACGTGAAATTGCGAACTAGTACTACTATACTAACTAGGCTTATAACTATTAATAAAAAGAACGCGCTCTTTTACTAAATAATTATACCTTCTTATATTCCGTTAACACATGTATTTATATATTATAACCTTAACTTACCCGCCTTACTAAAATCCCCGCCTTATTAATAAGCACTACTATAGGTGGTAAGAGCTTTTATAGCTAAATTACCTAAGGTGGGACGTGGCACGAGTAGATAGACGACCGCGCTTAACGACAACGCGTCGTCACATGACATGCGTTAACGTTCCACGTTACTGGGTCAACAGCAAAAGCTAGTAGTTCGCTCAAGATTTAGCACTAGCAATAACTACACATAATTGTAACCTTCAAGTCTCAACACCCTGCAATTATGACGAGCGCGGCGGTGACGCCGTCAATGCGAGCTGTCGCTTGGAATGTACACTTCACTATCGGCGAAGAAGAGGATTCGGGTGCCTTTGCCGGAATCTTCCAAGTTAGTGGCAGTGACCTCATTACCTTCCGCGATGTTTGCGATGAACTGCGTCTCTGCTTTGAGTTCTCGAACGACAAACTGCGCGGCGACAGCCACGATAATGATAACGAACATGACTCCTGGTCTCATATCGCATTCTACCGCCTTGATACGGACAATTTGACTAGCTCCTCCTTATCTGGCTTGCGCTTCATAACCGGGTCGGACCTGGATGAACCTGTGCCCAGCCTCGCATCACTCCGCCCCAAAGAACAGAACGTCGTAAGATACCACCTTGTGCACCACGAGGACTGCCATATGCCTTCCAACTCGTCACTAGACTCTCATTTACAAGGTTAGTCGGCAACATCATCTGGTTTGTTGTTGTAGAGCAGTCTTATCAACCTCGTTCTCAGCAAAATGCGCTCGACACCTTCCAAACCCTGTCCGCCGTCGCGATGCTCGATATTTGCCACCGAATAGAACGCCATCTGATCCAAGACTTGCTGTTATGCCGCTCCGACGGAAGTTAAAAGCCCGCTCTCAGTCTCCTCCTAAACGGCCGGCATCGGGCTCAAATTCACCGACGAAGGAAGCTTCGGACGAGTTCGATGACATGCTTGCACCTGCAACTATGAATATTGATATCGATGAGGCTAAGAGGGTTACGAATGACTTTAGGTCCTCCTGTCTCAATAGAGCCACCTCTTGTGCCGTTTCTGGCGAAGGAGAATCATGGTGTCCGGGACCGCCAATAGGGCCCGGTATTCAGGCTTGCCACATTGTGCCTCAACAGCATTACCATCTGTATCCTGTCAGCAGCGGGCTTGCTGACGGTGATGTTCCGATCGAAGAAAGTCCACGTCGACTTCAAGAAGCATGGCGGAGTACCTGGAGCCCTAGAAATGGTATCCTCCTTATGAAGCATCTTCATGAATTCTTTGATGCGCGCCTCTTCTCTATACATCCGCGCACACTTCGCATTCGTGTTTTTGTCCCCTATGATGCCCTGATTCGATTCAACGGCCAAAAAGCAACGGTGTCTTCAAATGTCGATCGCAAAGCCCTCCGCCATCATTACGAAATGTCATGCATTGAAAACATGGCCGCTGAAAGACCAAACTTGGATCCTATATCTCCTGCGACAAGCAGGATGACTTCATCGGGACTAAGCACGCCATTGACTACGAGAACTGACCTGCCCGCGACCCCGAGCTCGGGGGTTGGAGAAACGGAAATAGGCGCTAGTAAAATAGGTGACCCGAATAAAAGATCGCGACCGACCTATCCCGCTCGAAGCTTGTCCAGAAATAATTTATCACAGAATGACTTCACAGCGCTTATCAGATTAGCAGATTGGGAAGATAAAAGAGAACCTAAACGCAGACGACTGGAAAATAATGATATTTCTTTGCAGCACGACTTCTTTCAGCAAGTTGAAATGGTCAGCCATATTACACCTTGGAATAGCCGCGAGTTCTTAGCAGACGTGGATTGGGAGCTGCAAAAGTTTAAGCAAGGCCAAACCTTCTATTAATGATTCGGGGCGGTCTTTCTCAGTTAGTTTTGACAGCGCTAGAGTGAGAGACTTATAGAGCGGAACCTATTCTTACTTCGAACTCAGCTAACTGCCGTAACCACTAATCCCGGTTAAAGGAGGGTTCAAGTTACAAGTGTAGAGCGTGCCCGTTTCTTATAAAGTCCGAGAAAATAGCTAATACTCATTAAATAAGTGCGGTGCACACGTTAAGGGGTACTTATTATACGTAGGTTTAAGTTTAAATATAAATATCGGGAGAGTATACACGATATTAAATAATAGTATTTTAAGGTATTATAACGTTTTGCTAATATTAGTTAAAGTAACAAAATTTTACCCAAAGAAAACACTAAGAAGATAAAGAGAGACGAAGCGAAGTACGAGTTTAGTGAGTTTTATAGTAATATAAGCAACTATAGCAACTGCTAGTTCGCTTTATCACCCACTTTTACGCTACGTTAGCGCCGTGTTAGGGCCGCTTATTACCCCTTTATATTATTAAAAGCACTACGGCGCCGTAAAAAATGGGACTAGAAGCTATGCAACAACGACTCGTCGGTGCCCCTAAGGCGGCTAGAAATTGTGAAATAAGTAGTAAAAGCACCAGGCTCAAATGGATACTCTAGCTACCTCGATGTGCCTTGCCTCACCCAAGGTCCCAACTACTTGTGCCCTAAACCCGCTGTTAGCCTAGCCTGGCCGCGAGAACTGCTACACTACCCGCATCTGGAGTGTTACGAACCAAGGGTACCTGAAGCAGTTGGCCGGCGTCATGGGCCGCCAGCATGCAGACAAGAATGGGGCCCGACGGGATCGCAGGTCACGTGAGGGGATCAGATGGGATCAGTCTGATCCAACTCAATGGATCAGAGGGGATCAACCTGATCCAGCACGGGGGATCAGATGGGATCTATCTGATCCAAGACTACAATAGAGAGATAGACGAGTACTTAAGGAGGAGGTATTCCCATAGTCAGATAGTCTAGATCTCTATTGATCAATCTAAGCAATAGTCTTACTATTGAGAGTTATACTCTTAACGGCCTTATTGTGATACTGCTCAAAAAGCTACTCTGTAGCATTCAACCTGACTTACTTCCTAAGAAACAGACCTACTGTGCCTTAGAACCTAAGCCACCGTTACACTTTTAAATATTCTTAAGCTAATATTAGCTTTTAAGAGACTAAAAGAAAAAAAGAGTATTTAAGTATTATTACGCTATTATAAGCTAATAATAAGAGTTTAATAGAAGAAGTCTAATAAATATAAGCGTGTAGCCAGTCGATCAAGGTTCGAAGGGATCGATGGTCGAGCCAATCGATCCAGGACTACAATAGAGAGATAGACGAGTACTTAAGGAGGAGGTATTCCCATAGTCAGATAGTCTAGATCTCTATTGATCAATCTAAGCAATAGTCTTACTATTGAGAGTTATACTCTTAACGGCCTTATTGTGATACTGCTCAAAAAGCTACTCTGTAGCATTCAACCTGACTTACTTCCTAAGAAACAGACCTACTGTGCCTTAGAACCTAAGCCACCGTTACATGGAGCTACTTGAGCTAGTTATAATACATATTCGCCCATTGGTTTTAATACTAATTCTGCCGAATTTATTATGTGGTGTAGCCTTGGTAACGAATCGATAACCTACACGAAGTAAATATCCCGTCTTTATTAAAGTGGGGATTTTAGAACTCCTCTTCACAAGTCTTCCTCTTATTATTAACATCCATGGTGCTTTGCCATAGCCGAAAACGAAACAGCTTACGCACATCGTGAGATGCAGCATTAACTCGTGCAGGATTTTTCTGGTACTACGCCTCCCGACTATTAAGGTCCCCTGCCCTTAACGCTGCCTCCCACGAAACGGCCTAAATAACCCGCAAACGCGTTAAGTGCCAGCGCGTTAGTTCGTCTCCTTAAAACGATAAACGCTTTAAGAAAGACTAATAACCCTATAAGCTAGGTTAAAGTTTTAGTAAAACGAGATTTATATATATTATATTAAGAAAGGATTAAGCGATTATTTAAGTGATTTAATTACGACCTAAACCGTGGTCTACTTTATCTTTAAATGCCTTCGCTTATACACGTGTTCTTAGCGAATATTCTAGCTCTTAATCTGTAAGTTTAGCTTCTTAAAATAGCTACCTAGAATAATAAGTTATTAATAACACGGGTATTTTTACTTTTAAAATTAGAATTAAAGGCTCAGCTATAATTTAACTTATTAAGGGTAATTCTAAATTATTTTAAACTATTCGGCGTTAACTAAACGTATAATTCCGCCACGCAAATACCTAGTATTTAGGCGTCGTAATAGAGGTGTTTTACTTCTAAGATAATAAAGGCCTTAAAAAGCTTTACCTAGAATTATATTCTTTATTTTAACAGAGATATTAAAGCTATTATTAGTATTAATATTAATTACGTAGGGAAGAAGTCTACTATTTCACTTTAACGTTTAAAATATACACTTATAAAAAATAATAATATTAAAGAACTGGGATTTAAAGAAGTCATTTCATATAAGGTATGTAAAAGCAGTTAGTATTTTAGGTATTAAGGCTAACCGAGAAAGACGTTTCGATCCGTTGATAGGTACGCACATAATGCGGAAAAATACCTGAAGCTTACACTCGGCGACTTTGCTACTAATTCTTTATCTGCTCCACACAGAGCATTAACAAGAAAACTACATTTTCAATTTTCAAAAAAGCTTAAATAATTAATAATAAATCTAATAAAATACTTGAATTATAATAATAAATACATAAATTAGCTAATATTATAACCAATTAGCTCACATAAAAAAGTGGGTCCCTCTAGCTTATTATAAGCTTAAAAACTAGATTATGTAATTTTCTAAAAACACACTACACTACACTACACTACAAAAACTACATTTTGTAGTTTTTGAAGTTCTAGGCTTATAAGAGCTTATAAGGACCCACTTTTTTATGTTAGCTTATAGTATGAAATTCATACTATTTATCCGTAAAACTTATAATCTTATAAGTATTTTATTAGATTTAATATTATTTATTATATT